GGGGTGGGTGGGGGGGCAGGTAGGAGAGGATGGGTGGAAGAAGGGAAATGGGATTGTCATGTAAAACAATCCTGTTCCTAATTCAAATAAAAAAAGTTGAAAAAAAAAAAAAAACCAAACAAACCAAAAAAAAGCCTTTGTCAGGCCTGAAATTCCTGATACTCAGCAGCCTGAGGCAGAAGGACAGCAAGTATACAAAGGGAGATGAGGGTATTTGGAGCTCTATGGTAGAACTCTTATCTAGCATGCAGGAGGTCCTAGATTCAAGCCTCAGTTTTGGAAAAAACAAACAAACAAACAAAAAAACCCCACACAGGGTGTGGTAGTACCCTCCTTTAGTATGATCACTCAGAGGTCATCACAGGCAGATTTCTCTAATGTGGACCAGCCTGGTCCACATAGTGAGAATTCCAGGTCAGCCAGGGCCACAAGGGAGGCACTGTCTCAAAACCAAACAAACCATCTAGAAAACTATATATGTGCTTCCATGCTCTCTTCTCTTTTGTGGTATCACAGGTTAAATTTAGAGTTCTACCACAGATCGACATCCCTAGCCCTTCATATTTTTTCTTTTCTTATTTTTTTCAAACAGTCTCTCTGTGAATCCAAGAACTCTCGGTATAGACCAGGCTGACCTTGAACTCACAGAGATCCATCTGCATCAGCCTCCAGAGTGTTGGGATTAAAGGCATGTGCCACCACCGAAGTCGTCCTCCAGCTATCTTCATAGTTTTTGAGACGGGGTCCCACTAAGTAGCCTTGGTTAGCCTCAAACTCAACCTATTTTCCTGCCCAAGCCTCACCTCAGTGCTAGGATAACAAGCAAGCACCACTGTGTCTGATTTTTGTATTTATTGGCTTGTTTATGAGTCTAGTGGCATTGGGTTTCAAATCTAGGGACTTAGGAATCTAAGCTCTCTCACTGAGACACATCCTCCCATCCTAGCATTCTATTTTTATTAGGCTGCTGGGCTAGAGAGTTCAGCCTGAATAGTTTGAACTCTTTAATTAAAAATATCTTGATATCTGGTGCACATCTTTAATCCCAGCACTCAGGAGGCAGAGGCAGGAGGATCTCTGTGAGTTCCAGGGCCAGCCAGAGGAAGTTCCAGGACAGCCACGGCTACACAGAAAAACCCTATCTCGAAAAACATAGATGTATAAAATCAGGATCAACTGCTTCCCAAGTGCTGAGATTAAAGGTGTGTGCCACCTCCGTAAGGCTCAGGATAAACATTTTAAATCCTACCTCTACTACAAGGTTGACTCTCCCTCCTGGGTCTCAGGTAGGCCAGGTTGGCCTCGAACTTTTGATTTCCCGCCTCCACTTGTCACTTACTGGGATTATAAGTATGCACCAATTTATATAACCAATCCCGGTTTATACGGTGCTAGGGCTCGAACCCGGGGCTTGGTGCTTACTAGGCAACCACTTTGCCAACTGAGCCACATCTCCAGCCTCCTAGCCTGAGTTTTAAAACTTTTCTCTGAATTAGAGAAGCGCAGAGGCTGTCCACCCGTAGGGGGACCTGGGACCCTCGGGAGAGATTGCGTTTTCTCATATGACCGACGCCCAGGGCTTGCATTCGGTCCCTCGGGTACAATTTCGGCCCGGCTCCCGGGATTCCTACTAGGGCTAAACAGGAACTCACTCTGAGTGTCCCGCGCAGCGAGTCCCAGTGAGGCGTCCTCTGTGTCGCAGGGCTTCTGCCGGGAATCACCTTTCCTCGCCAAAGGACCCGCGCAGGCGTACTTGTCATCTCTGCCTCACACGTTCTTTTCGATTACGGACGAGACGAGAGTTCGGCTAGCGGCTAGCCAGGCCTGAATGAGAGGCAGGACTCCGCGCTCTATTGGCTGAGTCTGAATAGGGGGGAAAAAGGACTGGCGCGGGCTCGGGAGCTCCCGGCATCCCTTGCGGGGCGGCGGCGGCGGCGGGCGAGGAGGGGACGGCGGAGAGCGGTGTGAGGTGGGGAGGGCAGCTAAGAGACCTGAGGGGGCCCCGGGCCGGAGGCCGCCGCCGCCGCCATGCAGGAAATCATCGCCAGCGTGGACCATATCAAGTTCGACTTGGAGATCGCCGTGGAGCAACAGCTCGGGGCGCAGCCGCTGCCCTTCCCTGGCATGGATAGTGAGTACGGGGCCCGGCGGGTGGGCGACGCCGATGCTGACCAGGGTCTTTCCAGCCCTGGGTCGCGGGACCCTCACCCTGGCCCAGCTCCTCCTCTTCCGTCCTGGGACGTCCCCTTGTCACTGGAACTTTCCTTGGATCCTTGATCCTTGGGGACAGCAGGACCGTGTCGGTTGTTCCAGTAGTTCTTTAGTGAACGCGTGTTATCCTGAAGAGAACTCCCGTCTCCCACACTGCTCCAAGTAGAGCAAAGCCCTAGAATGTCTCCCACTTCCACCTCTTTGAGCGCTCCTTTCTTACTTTCGTCAGAACTGGGTGGTTAGTAGACCTTCATTCCAGGCTTACTTGAGTCTTGCCTTACTCCTGGGAACTCCTTCCTTGTTTTGGAATTGTTCTTTTTTTTTCTCACTACTCCACCTCCGGGTCTTTTGTCCCAACCCAAGTCCCTGGGGGAACCCTTCCCCCTACCCTCTTTAGATGGTTTTCCCATGCTGGTGGGATAGCTTACGTTTTGGGGAGCCGCTCCAATTCTGACATAATCTGTCTTTGACCGGGTCGTTCTTGCACACACATTATGCCCACTCTTAAACAGTAGGCGTTTGCTTGACTTGATGGCACTACCTTGAGACTGTGGGACAACATAGGTGGGGCAGCTCTTTTCCTCCCACTCTACTACGGATCCACAAGCCTGTGGAGGCAGGCGCAGTAGTAAGCCCCTCACTTGTCTTTTCCCTTGGAGAGCCAGGGATGTGCATAGCATGGGTACCTCTCCAGCTCAGTTCCAGACTTGCTGGGTTCACTTTTTTGTGGTTGTGTTGTGTCAAAGCCCAGCAAGGCTACAGACCCTCCTTGCTAGTCCCTGTGATGATGCTCTTTGAGAAATGTACTTATCCATCCTCCCCATGACTGGGTTTCTGACCTTAAAGAAGGAAGCAAGACTAACTACAAAATAGAAAGATCACAAATACTCTTAGATAATATTTTGTTTCATTTTGCTGTTGAGATGACTTCATGTAGTATAGCTTGAAATTCCTTATGTAGCCAAGGGTGACCTTGAATTCCTGATCCTCCTCACCTCCACTCCGAGCATCTGTAGTGCTGGGGATTGAACCTGGAGCTTTGTGCATGAGTGTCAGGCACTGTACCAACTGAGCTGCATCTCCACCCAGCCTTTGTTTTTTCTTACTTAATTGTTTTTGTGTTTTCAGGCAGTCTGGCTATATAGCCAGGCTGGCCTAGAATTTACTGTGTAGCCCATGCTTTTCTTGAACATGAGATCTTCCTGCCTCAGTTTCCTTCTCCCAGGTACTGGAATCACCAGTGTACACCATCATGCCCAGCAACATCTCTACATTTTACTACTTTAAATGTGACCTAGCAAAACCTGCCTGCTTCTGTGAAGCCACTGAATCTCTTGGAAGTTAGCAAGAGGAGGCACTTGAGTGGGCCTAATGAATGCCATCTCCTGTTTTCATTTTTTTAAGTTTATTTTCTGAAAAGGCACAGTGATGAATCAGTGAAAACTGTTTATGAAGCCAAGAATTGTTTGTTCAACAATCACAGCTGGTGAATTTCTAGACTCAACAGAATAGATGGCCCTGGACCCTCTGGCTGCCACCACATCCTGACTTTATAGTTTTACTGCTCTCCCTGAGCTGGCTGCACCAGTGGGGATGAAAGGCTATGCTCCTTTGTAATTCCATGTGAACTATGCATATTAATGGCTGGCCTACTTCTCGGTCTTCACTTACATTCTTTCTACTGGGCTAGTGTCTCAGAGGCACCTGCCTGCTCAGGAATCTGTCCCTGCTGGAAGGCATCATCTACTCATTGTTATGTCCTGTGAGACCATTCATTCCCTCCCTCTAATGTACCTGTAAATTAACCCTCCTGGGAGGTCTGTGCTGGGGGTAATTAACTTATTTCTGTGATCTTGTGTTTTTTCTTGCCTTCTCCACCCACTCTTAAATGTCTTGGAAGCTATGGGCTTTCAGGAGGTTCTCAGAAAGAACAATGATGTTTAGTCCCACCATACAGGTTTCACAGGTTTGAATGAAACAAGTGTGTTTGCTTTGAGACAGGGTCTCACTGTATAGCCCTAGCTGATCTGGAACTCAGTATGTGGACCAGGCTAGCCTAGCACTCAGAGATGCACCTGCCTCTGCCTCTTGAGTGCTAGAACTGCATGTGTATGCCACCATGCCAGTCATGGGCTTTGTGGGTTTTTCTAGCTCCCTACACCCTGGATTAAAGGTCTTAAGAACCTCCCATTGATACCTGGCTTTGGTTGGTAACTGGTTCTTTTCTTTTACAGAGTCGGGGGCTGCTGTCTGCGAATTCTTTTTGAAAGCTGCCTGTGGCAAAGGTAAGAAATTCTTGACTTCCTCACATCCTTCCTGAGGTACTCTACTTTGTCCCCTATCAAGATTTACAGGCCACCATGTATGTGCTTATATTGCTTTCTGTATGTAGGTGTCCCTAAATTAAGCTGTGGCTTAGATAGGCAAGGAGGATGATGGACTACTTTATACCCAAAACCTAAACACAGATCGAGCCTGCCTAATTTAGAGGCTGTCTTCTTGTGTCACTTTTCCTCCTCAGACAAAGGGGACATAGAGGCTTTCAGGAACTTCTCATAGTCCCAGAATTACATGTAGCAATACCCAGTGTTTGAATACAGACTTTTTAAAAATTGCAGTGTGTACAAGCTATTCCTCAGTGGCTTCTTAGTCAGACTCCATCACTTTCTTCTGGGGTATTGTTGACACTAACCAGACCTCCACAGAGGCTATGGGAGCCTGACTATCCATATATAGGTATTAGTGAGCACGACCTTATGGTCATGCATACATATGGGCATTTTTTCCCCTCTGGGAATTTATTTAGGAAATTGTATTTTAATCAGAAGTTTGAATAGGGAAGACAGGCCCAGAGCAAAGGGATGGTTTGAATGGGTAAATTGGTCCAGTGAATTTGCACTCCACGGTGTAGTTACTTGCTGTTGAAGCAGAAGACTTAGAGGTAAATCAAATAGTTTGACTTCAAGGTTTCTTGTCAGGACATCATTCCTTCATTGTGTTCTGATGTCAATCCCACAAGTTGGCTCAGCTATTCTTCCTTCTGACTATTATGTAGCTTGATTGGCAGGCTGTTGTTTTTTCTCAAACTTAAGTAAAACTGTCCTTGACTTCTTTTTGAGTCCATTTTTAAATTCTTTTATTAATGAGACTAAGAATCCCACAAGGGAACCCCAGCTCCCCAGATAGTTGCACATTATGGGGTGTAGGTGAAGCCACGAGAGCCCGTTCAAATGGGTAACAAGGATTTATTAGAAAACACTCATGGAGGGGCTGAAGATATGGCTCAGGGGTTAAGAGCACTGACTGTTCTTCCAGAGGTTCTGAGTTCAATTCCCAGCAATCACATGGTGGCTCACAACCATCTGTGATCTAGTGCCCTCTTCTGGCACTTACTGTATACATGATAAGTAAATAAATAAATAAATCTAAAAAAAAAAAAAAAAAAAAAAAAAAAAAAAAAAAAGAAAAGAAAACACTCATGAATACACAACAAGGTAGATAGCTTCCATGGTGTTCTGTTCCAGTAGTCCTGTCTCCTACCACCACATGAGAGAGAGTGACTGTCCCCCTTTTTAAAGGGGGTCACAAGCTCTACCCTGAGGCCGGTACTCCAAGTCTGTTAGTGGAATGAATTCCTACAACAATGGGGTTCCTGAAAATCCCCTGGGAACATGGCACCCATCTTTTGCTACAGAGCGATCCTTAATTTATGGTACTATAGCTGTCCCATAGCTGCTAGCCACATACATGTGCTAATCAATTAAAATCTTTAGGTATAGTTCTTCAGTCACACTGTTAACTCAGATGCCCTGTAGTCACAGAGGCTAGTGGCTGCTATACTGGATAGTAAAGATGTAGAGCATTTCTTACCACTGTTCGCAAAAGTTTCTTCTGGGCAGGGTTGGTCTTGTTTTTCTTAGACATAGCCTTATTCTCAGCAGACCTTTCACCATCAGTTAAAAGCCCCAGAGGATGGCTCTGTCCCATCTGGGTGGGACACATCCTGGTGCTGTTTGTTTGTGTCACATCTCTTCAGTTATAAAGTTAATCTTAAGCCGGGCATTGGTGGCACACGCCTTTAATCCCCAGCACTCAGGAGGCAGAGGCATGCAGATGTTTGAGGCCAGCCTGGTCTCCAGAGAGACTGCAGGATAGGCTTCATAGCTACACAGAGGAAACCCTGTCTCGAAAAACAGAAAAAAAAAAGTTAATCTTAATCTTCAGGCACTTTTAATAGGACATAGCCTGCCTGGAGTCCAGGCTTCTGCTCATGGCCCTCTTTGTCCTGTAACGCTTACTCTTTTATCCCCCTTCCAGGTTTTCTATTTCTAGTACCTGTGTACCACTAGAACTTTTTTTGTTGTTGTTTGTTTGTTTAAGGAACCAACTAACCCCTGCCAAGGGTTTGTTATGTATCTGTGAAATTGTGACATGACATTTTGTTGTTTTGAGACAGGGTCTCAATATGTAGCTCTGACTGCCCTTGAACTCCCTATGTTTAAGGACCAGGGTGACCTTAAACTCAGTGAGATCCACCTGCCTTTATCTCATGGGTGCTAGAATTAAAGGTGTATGCCACAAAACCCAGCAGCATTCTAGTTGTGTTTTTCTGAACTACTTTAAACTCAAATACATGGCTATTCAAATATATAGTGGGGCTGGAGAGATGGCTCAGGGGTTAAGAGCACTGGCTGCTCTTCCAAAAGACCCAAGATCAGTTCCCAGCACCCATATGACAACTCGACAACTTGCAACCATCTGTAATGCCAGTTCTAGGCAATCTGGCACCCACCCCTCCACCCCCCACATACACTTTCTGGCCTCTGCAGACACCATAGACAAATGTGGTACAGAGTCAGGCAAAACACCTGTACACCCATAAAATGTAGTGTTTGCTGGTATACTGCCTAAATCCATATTGCCTTCTCCAGAGACACTGCTGCTAGTTTCAGGTGGTTCAAATTGTAGGGTGATAGCTCTTTAGCTTCCCCTAGGTTTATTTCTACCTGAACTTGTATATCTCTTCACTTTTCTTGGCAGGGGGCATGTGTCCATTCCGCCACATTAGTGGTGAGAAGACAGTTGTGTGCAAACACTGGCTAAGAGGACTGTGCAAGAAAGGGGACCAGTGTGAGTTCTTACATGAGTATGACATGACCAAGATGCCCGAGTGCTACTTTTACTCCAAGTTCGGTAAGGCACATAGAATCCTGGGAGGCTCTGCTGAGAGTCAAGCACCGGGGGCCCAAGTGGCTGGCTTCTCAGGGCCTACTGTATCTCTCTGTTCCTCCCATCTTTCCAGAACTTGGGCAGGGCCTGGCAACCTGAGCTAGTTCTTCAGTAAGGGGGAGTTATTGTTCTCTGTAATAGCTACATGTCCCTGTGGCACTTCAAGGTTGAGAGCACTTAGGGATATTGTGACTAAGAAGGGTCCCAGTGAGCAAGCAAGGAAGCAGACTTTGTCTCTGCTCATGGCAGCCTTACCCCTACAATCCATGGTCGCTGATCACCCCAACCCGAGTTTCTTCCTTCTCTGGGAGTATGATCCTAGGCAATAGCATGCCTATCTCGGCAGTCCTCATAATAATCAAGTCTGGGGCTGTCTTCTGGTGGGAGTGAACCTACTCTTCCCATGAAACTATGATTGCTTTGAGCTCTGATTAGAGATCATGAGGCCCCTACTGGTTGAAGTGGCCTGGATGGAGAAGCGGGAGCAAAATGGAAGTGGTAGGGCTGGTACAGAACTTAGTCCCCAGGGGCTCTGCTCTGGTCTGCTGTTAGTGGTGTTCCAGGAAGCTCTGATGGTCAGCCCAAGGGTTTCTGTGGCCCCAGACCCTCTACACTGCCAAGAAGAAAGTCAGAAGGCTTCCAGAGGGTATATGGTGAGCTGAGTACTGGGTATGTGTTGAACTTTCAAAGCACTGTTACCAGAGGAGATACTGGTTGTTCCAGCATCTCAACAGGCTTGGTGTTTGTTATTATTATGGGTTTTTGTTTTGTTTTGGGGACTGCCTTGCTCTATATTGGTCTGTAATTTACTATGTAGAACTGGCTTGTCTTGACTATTCAGTGAACCCCCTACCTCACTTAGTCTCCCAAGTGCTGGGCTAACAGATGAGAGTCACCATGCCTGGCTTTGGATGCTGGCACCTTAGTTTTTTTGTTTTGTTTTAATGACATTTATTTATCATTGGTAATAACTCTTGTTTTGCTTTGTTTTTTGAAGGAGTATAAGCTGAGAGGTCAAAACAGTCAGAAATAGAATGAGAGCTTCCTAGCTCCCTGCCTTCTCAAGCTTGTCCCATTTGTCACATCTGTATCACTAACATCTCCTACCCTGTGACCCATAGCAGTAGGGCCCACCCTATGTAGGCTGTCTTGGGGTATCCTGTTTTTCTGCTGGTGACCACAGTCCAAGCATGCTCCCATGTGTCTAATGGCTCCTTTTCTTACCAGTCCCTTGTAGAGCAGTCTGCCTTGTGTAGATGCTGCTGGCAGATGGACAATACCCTTCTGTTGAGGATCCTCTCCCTCTAGGTGTTAAAGAGACAGACCTTTTGTTGCCTGCTAGAGTTTTGCTCTAGTGGCCCAGAGTCAGATAGTTGACAAACTAGGGGATAATAGAGAATTGGTCATGGGAAATGCTGTGTAAGATATGAATAGAGGTAAGACATACCTCAGAACTAGTTTCAGTAGAGTGATCTGGGAAAGTCCCAGAGGGAAGTCCTGACCTGGAGGCTAAGAAAGGACTTCCAGTGGCTGAGGATTGGTCTTAGGCAGCAAGGAAGCCATTGTGGCACTAGGTCATAAGCAAGCATGTGGGCTGGTGCGTTCCTCTATACTGTAGGTAAATGTGAGCATTGATTGCAGAGGACAGTGTAGAGGTGCATCCTCGTGCTGGGGTCCAGCACCTGATGCCCCTGTGACATGCTGGTCCATACGTGTTATCTTCAACAAGGCTTACCCATACTACTGCAGAGACCCAGCCTTTAACTCCCAAATAGTTCTAGTATTTCTCCTAAAAGTTAGAGGTCCTCAAACCTTCTCTGTCAGCTCATAGCTGTAAAGAGTCAGCAGAATAGTGATTTCCTGGTCTCAGTGGATGTACTTGAATATCTAGTCCCCTACTTGGAATACCCCAGGCTAAGCTGCACTAGTACCCTCTCAGCGGCAGTGATGTATGTGAAGGCAGAACTTGTCACAGCCCCACAAACTATGCCCTCAGCTGGTATATGAGCAGGCTGGTCCTAGACTCTAGAACCACCTGGTCTCTTTGCTTTGGGAGACAGTCATAGCACCGTTCCTGGAAGCTACATGCCTACATTTCCTGCAGGGGAATGCAGCAACAAGGAGTGCCCCTTCCTGCACATCGACCCTGAGTCTAAGATCAAGGACTGCCCTTGGTATGACCGCGGTTTCTGTAAGCATGGTAAGTGACAGGCCTCCTCAGGCCCACCTGATCCCCAAAGCTACCAGATGATCCTCTTGGGGCATCACTTCCCCTGTGCTTCCTGGCTCAGTAAAACCTGACCCGTGGCCAGTGAGGCTATTTATTATCTATTCATTTGTTTTCCTTATGGCAGGGTCTTACTGTGTAGCCCAAGCTGGCTTTAAACTCAGTCCTCTTCTGTTGGTTTCCCAAGTGCTGGGATTTCAGGTGGATGTTACCATGCCTGGCTATGGCTATTTTCCTACCCTTCATTTCCCTCGAGCCTCCCAAGGAAGCTGTGAGCAGGTGTTCCTGCTTGCACTTTTGATGAGCTCAGCAAGGAAAGGCTGGGGTGCTGCCCACTGTCTCCTGTGAATAAGACAGGAAGTCAGCATTTGAAGCCACACCCTGGCTCTCTGTACTTCTGGAAGTCTGAGCTGGGCTCTTGACTGGTAGTGGGACACTTAGGCATTGCCTCACTGAAGGAAGTCTGAATGGCCTGAATGCTGGGCTTTGCAGGTCCCCTGTGCAGGCACCGGCACACTCGGAGAGTCATTTGTGTGAATTACCTCGTGGGATTCTGCCCTGAGGGACCCTCTTGTAAATTCATGCAGTGAGTATATCCTGGTACCAGCTCTACTGCTGCGCTCTGGGTGTGTCCTAGGTGCAGCTGGGTTTGCTTGAGTCTCTGAGTGGTGTCCACTCTCGGGTCTGGGTAGGTCTGGGAGGTAGGGAGGAGCCATTCCTATATCTGCTGCTGCTGCTGCTGCTTCTAGAGCCCAAAGGCTGCTCTGCCTGGCCCACATTTAACCTTCTGTAAGCGTGGGCCATTGGCAAATCTGGTGGAAGCTATGGGCCCTGTGTTCCAGAACAGTGCTCAGACAATATCCTTTATGGGAATTAGAGATTTACCTGTGTTGGCCCTGAATTTGTTGTTCCATATGTAGTAGTTTATGAACCACAGGCAGGTGAAAGAGAAAGAATGGTCGTTTCCCACATACAAACTCCTCAGGTTCAGGGCTCAATCATTGATGTTGTTGGCAGGTGGTACCTGGTCAAGTGCAGAGCAATTTGGACCTCTGGCGCTGGGCTCTTCTCTTTCCACAGGATTAGCATCCTTCTAGTTCATAGCCTTGACCTTGAGAGTCTAACTGGGCTTCTGTCTAAAGTGACATGGGGACTGAAGAGAGCCTTCGTTCCACTACTGCTTTGGGTCACATTACCCAACTTGCAGCAGTTGTGTAGTTGTCTGGTTTGTCTTGTGATCCCTACCTTACTGAAGGCAAGTGGCCAGTGCTGCTACTGGTTTCTGCTCCTAGATAAAAGCCCTGGAACTTGCATCTGTTCCAGGGATGCCTGCTTGTCACTGCGTGCTTCTGTACATTGTCAGGAGGCTCTGGCACTCCAGTTAGACCGCATGGGGAAGGGACTTCCATGCATGCCTCCTTTCCTGCACAAGTACCAGGATGGCCATTCCTTCCTTTAGAACAGATCTTGCCCAACGGCTCCATCATCAGTTATTGTGCCAGTCTCACCCTGTGTCCTAAAGTTTGGATTGTTTTGCTCAGAGGGTAAGCGTGGTTTTCCAAACACCACCTGGTCTATTTCCTCTCATACACTGTTGTCTTCTCTGGTCAGCCCTAGATTTGAACTGCCCATGGGAACCACTGAGCAGCCCCCACTACCACAGCAGACACAGCCTCCAACAAAGGTATTGTACTCTTGTTCCTCCCTGGCCACAATGGCCTATAGAGACAGTCTCATTATCCACTCAGTGTGAGGTCTGCTGTAAACTCCACTGGGGGACCTTGTGAGGAAGGCAAAGTGGGGAGGCAAGAAAGAGGCGATGTACCCTCTCACTGCAACAGAAAAATCAGAGAAAAGCAGTTTGCTTGTTTTAGAAATGGAGGACAGCAAGCCCCAGAGCAGGTGGAAGATGGGTCATGTAGCAGAATCACCTTAAGAATGGGATTATACAGCTGTGAGTTAGTGCTTTCTGCCTTGGGAATTGTGAGCAAGGGCACAGGGGCTGGGCCCACATTGGCTGTTCTTGCTTCTGAGCCAGAACCTTCCCTTTACAAAGGAGGAAACATGACCTCTCAGAGGGAAGGATTTACCTGATGGGCCAAGCTGTGGCAGTAGCCAAGCAGTGGCAGAAGTAGGAGCATGACCAAGGTTGACTGATAACTGGCCAGTGCCAGCATGGCTCCTGTGGGGATTATTGTCACCAACAGGAATAAAAGACTAGGTAGCCCCATAATCCAGTCAGTGTTTACTCCTAAGCACAAGGAAAAGAGGGAAATGCCATGGATAAATGGGGATGTACAGTAGTGCTCAAACCAGGGCCCCTGGGCTTGTTGACAGGTCCAAAGGGCTGGCTTGCATGACAGGTAGGGCCTTCAGCAGGCCTCTATATAAGCTAACTGCCCTTCTGAAGCCTTATGACTTTTAAGTCAGGTGCCATGTCCCTTTTCAATCCTTCCAGTGCCAGAGCCTGAAATGGCCTGCACAGGACCTCCCACCCCCTTCAGGAGATGGCGGCACCAAGCAAATCAGACTTCCTGAGGAAAGCCAGGCAGTCCGTGGCACAGGTGCAGCTGATTGCCTGGGGGGTTCCTAGCTCTAGCCTGACATTTCCTGGCTCAGAGCCAAGATCCCATCTGGTTGGAATGCCTTGCTTTGGAATCCCTAAGAGCCCCACTCCCCTTTCCCATGTGACTTCCTAGAGGAGGGCCCTCTCAGTCCCTAGACTGCAGGCCAGTGTGTCAGGCTCCAACTGTTTTTCTGTGACTGTTGCTCGCCGTGTAGGCTGCTAAACATCTGGCTGAACCAAGCGTTCATCCTGACCTGAAGCTAGAACCTCAGAAACAAAAGTAAGGCCTGATCATGCCCTCACCCCACTGCCCAGAGACTTCCTATTGTCTCTTTCATGTTTTCTTTTCTACTTTTAGTTCTCGTTTTTGTGTGTCTGCATGGTGTTTTTCGAACAGCAGCTCCTGCCATCATCACCAGAACTTTCTTTTCGGCCCACTCTCCTGGGGCAGGCCATTGCAGAAGCCCTCTTCCTGCTGGTCATGCAGAAGAGGTCCTGTTCTCCTTTTTTTCCGTCCCCATTGGTAGTCCGCGTGCACGTGTTTTCCGCAGTAAAACCGTGTTGTGTAACTCTTTCCAGCAAAGTAACAATCCGCCATTACAAAGGTCGTCCTCCTTGATCCAGTTAACGAGTCAGAACTCTTCTCCCAATCAGCAGAGAGCCCCGCAGGTCATTGGGGTCATGCAGAGTCAAAACAGCAGTGCAGGGAACCGGGGACCCCGGCCGTTGGAGCAAGTCACTTGCTACAAGGTGAGTCCTAGGGGTATGGGTCGGGGGTTATTGGAGGACAGGGCAAGGTCTTCACTTAGTGGTCATTCCCTCACTCCTCTGAAGTGTTATTGCTGATTTGAAGAGTAAAGGTAGGCCACTGTGGTGGGTGAGTCACCATCATAATTACTGCTCTGCCAAGACAGAGTGGAGGAAGGTACACACATGCTGTTGAATGGGCACTGTGCTTTGAAATGAGAATTTCCATAAAGGGTAGAACAAAATGGGGATGCTTCAGGGTAGAGTGATATTCAAAGCAGCCTGTGTGTGCATGCCAAAGGAACAGGACAAAGCTTTGGGCCCACAGTGGCAGGAATTGGATAAGGACACACCCCAGCCCATACAAGAAATGAACTCTCAAAGCCGGGCGTTGGTGGCACACGCCTTTAATCCCAGCACTCGGGAGGCAGAGGCAGGTGGTGAGTTTGAGACCAGCCTGGTCTACAAGAGCTAGTTCCAGGACAGCCTCCAAAGCCACAGAGAAACCCTGTCTCGGGGGGAAAAAAAAAGAACTCTCAGTGACAGGCAGAGAGTCTCATGAGAGTTTATAGTTGCATACTAGACCTTACGTGAGTTTGGGCTTGTGTTTACATCTTTGTTGAGAGCTAAATAGTTAAAATCTTGAGGGTGTACCACTGCCATCTGACAGGAACATGCCCACTCATGCTCTGGGGGATGTGTCTACAACTAGACTTCCGAAGGATAAACTTGTGATTAAAGAAAAAAAATCACACAACCTGCTGAGAAATGTTCCACATGTTGAGTCAGCAGTGACACCCACAGAACTAGATGTATGAGGACTTCAGATGTGGGGGGGGGGTGTCTCAGTGGGTAAGACGTTTGTTTTGTGATCATGGCGACCAGAGTTTGGATGCCTAACATCTATACACATCCCAGGTGGGCATGGCAGCTTGCCTCTCCAGCTTATTAGTGAAGACAAGATCCTGGAGCTAGGTGAGCCAGTCAGTGATCCCTGGGTTCATTTGAGACCCTGCCTCAGTAGAGAGAAGGAACTCTGTCACTTTGGGGCCTCCACACATAGGCATAAGCATGCACATGCACAGACAAATGCATAAAAAATACGAGAGGGAGTAGCTACACGTGCCCACATACCTGCACTCAGAGCAAGCCTAATCTACATGACATTCTATCCTCTTTCTTTGTCATATAATAGGCTCATTCCATGGCTTTGCACATACATAACCACAGCTTATTTCACCAGGTCTGTTAAAAGACAAATTATTTATGGCTTTTGTTCCTAACGGTAGCACTGATTTGAACACTTGGGCATTAGTTAATTCTTGTCTGATGTCCACTGTCCTTTTTGCTGGCTGTTTGTAGTCATAGAATCCTCCTATACAATGGCCTTAGGTAAGGGCATGGCCTAGGGTGGTGCCACACAGCCAAGCGTTGTTTGATATCCCGTTCTATCCCAGAGAAGTTTGTTTGGGGGAAGGAAAAGCAAGCATTTAAAGAAAACTCAAAGCAAAAGTGTGTGGATTCAGGTGCCCTAAGGTCGCCGACTCCATATTTCCTCTCCAGTTCCTCTGACTTGCTGAAGCTGGAACCCAGTAATTTCTCAAAGAGACATCCTAAAGCAGCTTAGCTGTCATGTTGTTCCCATCTAGCACTGTGCAGCAGTGTCTCCTCTGTGAAGCAAACATTCAGGTCCTGAGACTCTTAACAAGACGGGGCTAGGTATACTGCCCACTACCACAACTGTGGTGCACTGTCTTTTAAGAGTCTACGTTCCCTGGGACCAGCTATAGAGACAAGACCTGGAAGTGGGGCTTTCCTGATGGTCATATCAGTCTAAGAGCTAACTGGCTGCTATCTAGACCACTCATCCACACAGAAGCCACATCTGAGTGGCACATGCCTTTAAACCTAGCACTTGAGAGCCAGAAGCAGGCAGACCAAGGCCAGCCAGGGTTACATAGTGTGAGACCTTGTCTCAAATTAAAAAAAAAAAAGAAAAGAAGAATCAAAAAGAGAAAGTGCTAGATACTGACAGATTGCCACTACGGATACCAGGACTGAGTTGGCGTGGTCATGGGGACTTGGTGGGGAATCAGCACAGAGTTGTGGTCCCTTGTAATCTCCTGCCCATTGTTCACTGCTAGACCAAGGCTGCTGTTCACTTGTGGATAATTGTCTTTTGAGGTGGTACAAGAACAGGCACTACAGAAGGGCTAAGTTAGGGTTAGTGATAGCTCTGTCAGGTGACACAAAGGACTGTCAGATTGCTCTGGCCCTGTGATCAAAGCCTGTCGTTCAGATAGCTAGAAATGTATACAAGATCCAGGAAGGAAAGCTTCAGACATAGCCCACCCTCAGTGTTCCCAGCAATGGCTCCCCGAATTGGGGCAGGAGCCTGGTGGCTTCTGTCGGGTTGGTCCCTCCTGTCTTTTCTAGGAACCCCAGATGTTGGCTCAGAGGTAAGGTGATTGGCCTGCCCTGTGGAGGGGCAGGTGGGAGAGCTCTTTGGTGCTATGGGAGCCCCTGTTGGGCAGGCCTGAGCCCAGTGCAGGTGTGGTGGGGCTGGGGAACTGCTCCCAGGTCAGCCTCATTGCCTCTTCTGAGCTTCACAGGCTGTAACTAGGTGGGCACTGCCTTAGATAGCATCCCAACTCTCATGCTTTTCTCTTTCCTTCCCCTCTTATTCCCAGTGTGGTGAAAAAGGACACTACGCCAACAGATGCACCAAAGGGCATTTGGCCTTTCTCAGTGGACAGTGACAACAGCTGGTATCTGTGGAGCAGCCTGAGAGCCCTGCTGTTGGGAACAAGCACTTAGCTGCTGAATGTAGTGCTGGCAGGACTGGCTAGAGCCGCAAGCACACCTGCCAGGGCTCATTTTGAGGGGCCATGTCTGTCCTATCATTTTGCTGTAATCTTTTTTTAAAGAAGGAACATGTGCTTCAGTTGGGTCCCTTGAGCCAGCTTGCTTGGACATCAGTGCCTCATTTTTTGGACTCCGTGCACACTGCCCTCTTGGGGAGAGAGAAGTTGGGAAGGGCTGTGCTTCTTGGTCCTGTGTGGAAGATGGCTAGCAGTTCCCCTCAGGGCCTCATTAAACACCAGCACCTGGACAGGATGGGTGGATCATGTGGGGCTGTGGCCAGGCCAGCCTGCTTTCTCCGTGTCCAGCTGAAGCCTCAAGCTGTGCCTATGAATGTGACTTGAACAAGGGAGCGCTTCCAGACAAACTTGGAGCATCTACTGCCTGGCCTGGCCCTGGCTCTTTAGAAGTGTCAGGATCCCAGGCTGAGCTGCTTTTCTGGGCTTGCTTTCTTGTGGAGACCTGCCTGACAGTGCTTCGGGCACACCTTCGGTCAGTGCTGCAGACCACCTTTAACTAGCTGACCCAGGTGAGCTGCGCCTACCTCCTGCCAAGCAAACTCTGTGCTGTCATTCAGACCCCTGTGGCATGCAGAGGCCACCCATCCTTGAGCCTAGAAAATGTGAACCCATCACCTGCAACCTGCTGGGCAAGTGGGCCTATCCAAGTTCAGTTACAAGAATACTTTTTATGAAGTTGATTAAAAAGCTTGTTTTTTAGCCTATGCTTCATTACTTTAGTGACTTCTGAGGAACTTCCCTTTTAGCGGGTATCAATCTCGTAAAAAGAAGTCACTGCTGCTGGGAAGGGACTTTGCATGATACCTCATGTTACCTTTATTGATACCTAGTCACCCAAACTAGGCCTAGTTCAATCCCCATTCATGTTGGCTCTATGCAGTGTATATTCTCCATTCCTCTCCTCCACTCCCATAAGGAATTGGTAGCTTGGCCTTAAGTCTTATTGAAGAGGCAGGAATTGGGAGTGCTTCAGGGAGAGTGGTGAGCTTGCAGGCTGGCACCTCTTAACATTCATCCCAAGGCTTCAACTCTAGCCATTTTACGTGTATGCTGGTGGTCCTCATGCAGAAAGGAAGGGTTGGAAGATGTTCAGGCTATCCCCAAATCCCTTGCATTGTTAAGGTGTCTAGGTGTAGGTTAGAGAGATGGCTTAGTAGTTATAAGCTTTGCACACAGGGAATGGGAATTTAGCGGAGATCTCCCCTTTCAGAAGTTCTTTCAGAACTGGCTGTTCAGTTTGATTCCTAGCAACCACAACCATCTAACTCCAGTTCCAGGTGATCTCATACCCTCTTTTGCCTTCTGTAGTAGGAACACAAATAATGCAGCTATATATGTAAATATATAGAGAGAGACAAATACCCATACACACAATAAAATGTTGCTAAGGAACCAAACTGTAGTTAAAAGCATTTGCTGCTCTTAAAGAGTACCTGGGTTCCATTCCCAGCACCCATATGGCAGCTCATAACTAACTACAGTTCCAAGGGATTCAATAACCTCTTCTGATTTTCATGGGTGTCAGGTATACATGAAGGGAAAAATACTCATGCACAAAATTTCTTTAAACAGCCAAGCATGGTAGCCCACATCTTTGATCCCAGCACTTAAGAGGCAGGCTGATCTCTTAACTGAGCTTAGCCTGGTCTACTTAGTCAATTTTAGGACAGCCAGAACTAAGTAGACCTTGTCTCGCCCCCAATTGTCATGAGTCAGGGGCCATGCTTTATGTTGTGTCTGCCAACCAAAGGCCACAGCACCTCTAAACAGCCACAGTGCTTATGGCATGACAGGCCTATAGGCAGTTGAAACCCCAGATGACATGCTGCCCCACGGTGAGCTGGGACACAATCCCAAGCACACATTGGTATGCAAAGCTCACAGGTTTCATGAGCCAAAGGTACTGGGTTGTGTGACAAGGGTACAGGAGTACAGAACAATGACTACATCAGGCAGGCAGTACATGAACCAGTCAGGCACCTTTTATTGGATACTAGTTCTTAATCAAAGTTTGAAGACTCAGCCACAGTTAAATTCTTCATGGATGGGAGTGGGACAGGCAATTATGCTCAGGTGTGCAGTGCCCTCCATGGTGATCCTTCTTCAGTGGTACTTGCGTCGACGCTCATGTTCTAAAGTTATGAAAAAAAAAGTCTCCTATCATGTGTTCCAGTGATGGCAGCACGCCACAATCATGTGGATCCTTCCTGTACTTTTCTTTCTGGTGACTGAGGACCTGCCATCTGGCTAATTTCTTCCCACATCAGATGGCTACACTGGTCCCTTAATAGCATCTCAACCATAAGTGTTGGCCAGGTCCAATGAGACTGGCAGGAGCTGGTGCTGCTATGAAAACAGCTGTGAAACCTGGTCAGAGGCTGATGTTCCCGGTCTCCCATCAGGCTTCACCAGCCAGGATCTGAGACTGAGGAACAGCTGTGCTTTGCCAGAGCACTATACAGACACTGGATCATACTACTCAACTTACTGCCTTCTTCACATTGGCTGCTAGGAGAATAAGTCAGCTTTCAGCATTGTATATTATGCTCCCCAAGCACTAAACTTTAGCCTAATTCCATCTCATTTTCCGTGTTCCTTTTGCATAAGCTCCACACTTAAAACCATGTCATACATGCCATATTACTGTAACTTCCTCTCAGGTGGAAGATCAGAAAAAGGGGAATCTTAAAGCTCCACTTCTGACATGGTGGACTGCCACATCTAACAAAGCCAGCCAACACCAGCCTCCTGGGTAGGAGGAAGCTGAGTCATGCCACAGCACTTACTGAGTTCCTTGTAAGAAATGCAGTAGCTGAAAACCACGTAGGCTGCCAGCACCATGTTAATCCCCGAGATGCTGCCTTTCCGAACGTTGATGTACTTGTTGTAATACCGGTCGTAACCTGCAACAGAGGAGGTGCTCATGCTAATGTTTCTGACAATGTACAGTGGGATCCCTGGGGCTCTGACAGCAACTCACCCTACACTTACTGATGATGGTGGACAGACAGCACAAATGTCCTATGTAGTTCTGTCTTCATGACCCAAGACAAGACTAGCCCCAGAGCTTTTTTTTTTTTTTTGGGGGGGGGGGGTGTTTCAAGACAGGGTTTCTCTGTACTGTTTTGTAGACCAGGCTGGCCTTGAACTCACAGAGATCCACCTGCCTCTGCCTCCCGAGTGCTGGGATTAAAGGTGTGAGCCACCAACACCCAGCTTTAGCCCCAGAGTTTAAGCCCATTTAACAGGGCATCTACACTTTCTTTGGCTTTAACCTTGTAGACTTGGCTCAGCTTGTTAATCTTTGCTCTTCCTTCACTCCCACCTCCAGCCTGGGGACCCTCTTATTCTAATTCTGCGCCAGATTCCAACCCCACTAAGGGCCACTTCACCACAGCCACCTAGGTTTACTAAGGCCTTCATGACAGCACTGGGTGCCTTAAATATAAGCAGCCACGTGACTCACCAGAGAGGGTATAACATACTCTAGTGAAGAAAAAAAAAATGACATGAGCCAGTGCACTGTGTGTAAAGGCAGAATGATCACAAGTTCAAGGCATCCTCAGTTACATACTGAATTTGAAGCCTGCCTATTTGAGACCTTCACATAACAAACAAGGCACCTCACAGGTAAAGGCAGGGGGATCTAGAGTTCAGGCTAGCCTGGTCTACAGGATTTATGCCGACCATGGCTATATGGAGAGATCCAAACAACAGCAACAAAACAACAAAATGGAATGCTTTGATAGGTATTAAAAGTTTAAAATAGCTAGGATTGCCCGGGAGGAGGTATGAGCATAAGCCACGTCAATTTCCTGGACAGCTGTAAATAGACATGGGGTAAAAGGCAGAATATTCTGAGGGCACAATTGGAGGGAAAGCCAAGTCATAGGATTAATAGCATAGGGTGGCCAGATTAGGAAAATGGGCATCCCTGAGGAGGCCAGAGGCCATGCATGACTCCATCAAAGATCTGACCAGTCCTGTACTTAACTAAGTGCACTGGCCTAATGGATGTGCATTTTGAAATGTTTTAGAAAGGGCTTGAAGAAGGATGAGCATGGTACAGCCTAGTGACCATCATGCTTCAAACTCATTCTCTTCTCAAAGAAGTTTTTTTATTTGTTTGTAGTTTTTCTTTTTGAGACTAGAGTCTCATGTATCACAGCCAACAAATCTGGTATATAGCTAAAGGTGACACTGAAATCTAGGACCTTCTGCCTCCAGCTTCCTAGTGCTAGAATTACAGGTGTGTGCAAACACACCTGGTTTTTTCAGTTTCCTCCAAGACAGAGGTGCTGATCCAAAGCAATAAAATTATTTTAAGCTGGGCATGGTGGCACCATTACTTAGGAGGCTGAGGCAGGTTGAAGGAAAATTCAAGACTAGTTTGAGCCTACTAGCCTCAAAAGACACAAAGTATTTCCTAGGCTGAAGCATCTCAGAGCTCGACTTTGTTGTTTTATATGTATACATACAGATGGTGTGTGCACTCTCACTCACAGATGTGAGAGAAAAGGGTGTGGAGGCAGAGGTCGGCGTCAGGTATCTATCTCTCTCCACCACGTTTTGAGACAGGGTGGCTCACTGAACTTGGAGCCGACCAATTAGCTAGACTAACTAGCAGCCAGTGAACACCTGTCTCTGCTCAGTGCTGGAAACACAGATGCGCACTGCTTTTAACATGGGCACTGGGAATGCAAACACAAGTCCTCATGCTTACACAGCAAGCACATTACATACTGAGCCAATCCCCTTGCCCCCACAGTCAGCATTTGTTTTGTTTCAAGACAGGGTTTCTTTGAATAATAGCCCTGACTGTCCTCAAACTCAGAGAGATTCAGGCATGTGCCACCATACCTCCAGCTTCACAGTCAGCCTGTGATAGGTTCATGCAAACACAGAATCAAGAGTTAACTATCACCATCGCCCCCTCTACAAAACCATCAAATCTCAAGACAGCAAGGCCTTTATTGCCTAGATTAACTCACAGCAAAAAGAGACCCGAAGACTAGAGTATTGCTTTTGTCTTCACACCCATAAGACACTGACCTCTCTGAAAGGCTCCAACGATGCCACTGGGTGTGAAATCCCGCATCAATATCCAGTTTGGCAGCTCTCCAAGTTTAACCTGCATGAGCTTCTTCTCCTTCAGAGGCACTGAAAGAAAAACAAAAACACAGGATAATCCTTCAGCAACACAGATAGCCCTCTTTTATGTAGCATTTCAACTGTCCCTGCAGGTATAGGAAGTACACAGATGCTGCACGAGTCATTTTCTCAATAAATATATCACATCAAAACCACTACTGTAGGCATAAGCCTATGGAATAGAGTGGTTTAGCAAGAGCTTTGAATATCAAGGGCTGGAGAGATGGGTCAGCAGACAAGAATTCAGGACCTGGATTCAATTCCCAGCATCCCATGGCAGCTCATAACAGTCTGTGATGCAGGACCAAACTCTGGTCCTCTAGGATAATAAATGTTCTTAACCAGCAAGCTAGCACTGCTTTACCTTATTTAGTCATCACACAGAGTTAACCATTACCCCACTGTGAGAGGAACCCATACACTAGAAGGAAACAAACCTCACAACTTGTCTCCATGCTCTGGAAGCCAATCTCAGGATAGGTCTGTCTAACCCCTGGGTATCTGTTCTTAAGAACACCCTAGTGTATGTAAAAGGAGAACTGACTCCCACAAATTGTTCTCTGACTTTCATATGTACGCTGTAGCATGCATATGCTTGCACACACAAAACCTTGTTAACAAAAAATATTTTTTTAAAAAGCTGAGCATGGTGGTACAAGCCTTTTATCATTCTGGAGACAGGTAGGCATATGTCTGTGAATTCAAGGTCAGCCTGGTCTACACAGTGAGTTCCAGGACAGATAGGGCTACTACAACATAGGGAAAAAAAAAAATTAAGATTTATTTTTTGGGGGGTGGGGGGTTTCAAGACAGGGTTTCTTTGCGGCTTTGGAGGCTGTCCTGGAACTAGCTCTTGTAAACTAGGCTGGTCTCGAACTCACAGAGATCCACCTGCCTCTGCCTCCTGAGTGCTGGGATTAAAGGAGTGCCACCACTGCCAGGCTTAAGATTTATTTTTATGAAGTAGGAGAGATGGTTCAGTGGTTAAGAACACTGGCTTTGGGGCTGGAGAGATGGCTCAGAGGTTGAGAGCATCGACTGCTCTTCCAGAGGTCCTGAGTTCAATTCCCAGCAACCACATGGTGGCTCACAACCATCCGTTATGAGACCTGGTGCCCTCTTCTGGTGTGCAGATATACATGGAAGCAGAATGTTGACTACATAATAAATAAAATCTTTAAAGAAAAAAAAAAAAAAAAGAACACTGGCTTTAGGTTCAATTCCCAGCACCCACATGGCAGCTCACAACTGTCTGTAACTCCATTCCAGGGGATTTGACAACCTTACACATACATACATGCAGGCAAAATATCAATGTACATAAAATAAAAATAAAATCACTTATAATCGAGAGAGAGTCTTGCATTGTGGGCCAGCCATTTTGTTCCATTACCTTTGTTTCTTAAGACAGGATCTCTCTCTATAGCTCTGGCTGCCCTGGAACTTGATATGCAGACCAGGCTGACCTTGAACTCAGAGATCTGCTTGTCTCCTAAGAACTGGGATTAAAAGTAGGTGCAATAGTACAATACCTGGAAAGTTGTTTTCTGACCTCTATGGATCTTCTTGTGTGCACACCCATGGACGGACACACACACTCTCTCTCTCTGTCTCTCTAACACACACACACACAGAGGAACATATATGCTCATGTGCTACCATGCCCTGTTTTTGAGACAGGGTCTTACATAGCCCAAGCTGGAATTAAACTTGTTGCTGTGTGCCATGATGTTATTGGATACCTTATTCTGCCACCTTCCAAATGCTAGAATCACAGGTTTTATGTGGTGCCAGGGGTAGAAGCCAGGATTTTGTGCACACTGGGCAAGCATTTTACCAACTGAACTGTAATTCTACTACCCACCCCCAAATACCTTTCTTGAACTAAATTTTTTTCATTTAAATATTTTTGGTTTGAGACACTGAATTGCTATGTCGTACTGGCTGGCCTTAAACTCATAGCAATCCTCCTGTCTCAGCTTCCCAAGTGCTAGAATGACAGTTATGCCTCACCACCTCCAGCTAGCTAAGTGTACTAAACTGTTTAGTCCTTAATCAAAGGGCTCTTCACACAAAAAACTTCAAGCTGGGCATGGTGGCACATGCCTTTTAATCCCAACACTCAGGAGGCAGAAGCAGAGATTTCTGTGAGTTCAAGGTCAGCCTACATAGTGAGCTCCAGGAGAGCCAGGACTACATAGCAAAACCCTGTCTTGAAAAGCCCAAAACCAAACCAAACCAAACCAAAAACCCCAGCTTCTTCACGCTCCATTTTTAGACGCCACATTGCTTCATCTTGCCTGGCTGAGATAAAGAACTCAGAAACAAGCTGAGTATAGTGGCATAAGCCTGTAATCCTAGCACTCAAAGACCGAGACTAACACCGAGGCTGCAAGTTCAGGGCCAAGCTGAGCTACACAGGGAACCCTGTCTCGAAAGGAGGGGGGTAGACAACCGTGAAATGGCTAGGTGAATACTGGAGTTTCATTCCAGGAAGGAGAAGCCACTCCTCAAAGTTGTCCTCTAACCAGCTGCACACAAGCTCCACCACTCCCTTGGTCCTACCTAGACACACATCATACACACAAATATGTAATTCCAACAGTGCACGATGAATGAGCGGCAAGATTTACACGCGCCTGTTAAGGGAACGCCTGCCTGTCTATCTCAAGGCCATCTTTGGGAATTCATCTCGGCCGCGCCAACCTAGGTCTGCATCCCAACTAGGCTCTCAGGAGTTGTGACCTTGAACAAACAGGTCACCTCAGCAGGCATGTTCAATGGAAGCGTGTGTAACAAAATGTGCTGTTGGGAACCATCCTAGGCAACTGCCGCTCCCGAACCTTAATTTGAACCTCAGCTCTGGGAAGGGCAGGCGCTGCGGCGAGTAAAAGTTCAAGTGCCCCCGTCTGTGTCGCAGGAAGAAAAAGCGCTTATTCCTCAGCGGAGAGCCCAACAAATGGTTCCGCAGCGCGTGTGCGGGCCGGGAGAAGCCTCTCCAAGCTGCCTCGGCCCTGGACCGCCGCGCCAGGCGGTGCTCAGCGGTCACTCGCCTCGGGGTGCACTGAGGAGGGCGCGCAACGCAGGGCCTCAGAGCAAGTGTCCAGCGCGCCTCAGGCGAGGCCGCGGTGATGTCCCCGGGAGAAGGGCAAGTGTCCCCGCAGTTCCTTCTCAACCCACTGTGGCCCTGAATCCTGCGCACAACTCGGGCTTCCAACCCCGCGGCCTGGCGAGAGCCAAAGGACTCACCGAGCGACGCCATCTTGCAGTTGCGGTGTCCGCAAAAGCCAGCGGAGCGCGAGGGCTGCTGGGAAGGGAGTAAGCGCCGCTGCTGAGCGCACTGGGAGCAGAAGCTCGCCGGAAGTAGGTCGCCCCTTCGGTAGAGCGTACAAATCGAGGGTGCCTTGAAGGGGAGGGCAGCTCCTTAGAGAGTAGAGTCCCCACGGACTCTGCATTTTAGGACCAGATGGAAGAAAAGGACAAAAGGGACAAGGGGGTCTTCTGGCTTTTTATCCTCTGCTTTTGGATTTGTTATGAGAAACGAGGGGAGTAGGGGTGTGGCTCAATCCTGAGTGCTCAAGGCTCTGGTTTCATTCCACGCTGAAAAGAAAAAAGAAAAGCCGAGAAGTCTTGAAGGCAGGAACATTTCTTTCCCTCCCCAATTCCTTTTACCCGCTATTCACCGGTCTCTGACCCCAAACTCCTTTGAAGTTCCACTTATGATGCTTAAGTGATTTCCACGATGATTGCAAAGACTGACCTTCCAAAGCTCATAAAGGTTGTTTATCTGACCAACAGAAGAAAGTTCAGGTTCAAGCTGTGTTGAGGCCAAGGTCAGGCTACCACAGGCAATTATCTTACTGCTAATTTCCAATTTGGGGCTTCGAACTTGCTTCCAGCCTCAGCATCTCAAATGTTCGGATTACAGGTGTGCACCACCTGTATAAACTGACATGACCGCTCCCTGGTATGATTAAGGTGAAGGGTTTATTTTATTTTTTTATGTGTATGGGTATTGCCTGCTTGTATGTCCGTGTACCACATGCATGCAGGGTCCACAGTGGTCAAAGAGGGCATTGAATTCCCCTGGAACTGCAGTTGTGAGCGCTTAGGTGGGTACTGGGAATCGTGGATTCTTTGGAAGAGCAGCAAGTGCTCTTAACTGTTCAGTCACTTCCCCAGCCCCCATGGGGGAAAGGTTTTTATTGTAGCAGAGAGGGGGGGGGGTTGAAGAACAGCCAGAGGCATTTGGAATAATCCAGAGTGGAAAGAGAAAGAACAGACTGAACATGGCCAACAAACTGGACATGGTCAGTGCTATTTGTGACAAAGAGGAAAATGGCAGGGGATAGAGAATAGAGAAAACAGCAAAGCCAGGCTGTGGTGGTGCACTCCTTTGATTACTTGGGAAGCCGAGGTGGATCTCTGAGTTTGAGGCCAACTTGAGTGAGGGTAGCCAGGGGTAAAAGGAGAAATGCTGTTTCAAAGAGAGAGAGGAGAGAGAGAGAGAGAGAGAGAGAGAGAGAGAGAGAGGAGTGAGTGAGAAACAGACAGAGGGGGAGAGAGAGAGAGAGAAGCAGGAACTGGACATAGAGAGAAAACATCCAGAATAGTGGGGCTATAAGGAGAATGAATAGCTGGGGGAAGAGCCAGGGAGCAGAAGGGAGGCTAGAGAACATAAGAGCCTGGGTGCTATATCATGGACTTTGAAACTGGTAACAAATACTGATGATACTGAGGGAGCCTGGAGGCCAGCAGGTGCTTTGATATGTTGATATACACCATACCATATGCCTCATTTGCCAGAGGTAAGGGAATGGACTTCTTTTGGCAAAGGGAAACTAGCTTCACAAGTTCCTTAGGAATGCTGGTTTATCTAACTGCCAGAAATCCTTTTATAATCTAGGTTGAGCTCATTTCTGGATATTTGGAATGCCCTTTGGAATTTGGTGGGAAAGCATTAGGGAAAAAGAAAGTGTTCCAAGCAAAAGGGACTGTAGCAAGCAAAATTTACTGGGGGCTGGGGTTCTGGTCAGGAGTGGCACATGCCTTTAATCACAGCACTTGGAGGCAGGAAAAGGTGGAGCTCTGAGTTCAAGGCCAACCTGATCTACAGAATGTGTACCAGGGCAGCCAAGGGCTACACAGAGAAATCTAAACAAACAAACACAAAGAGCAAGAGAGGAGCCTGCTTCAAGGGTCCCATTTATCTACTGCTTTGTGTTTATGTATATAAAGGATGAATCCATTACATGGCCTCCACAGAGTTGTTGCTAACACAATTATAGGCCACCTTCCAGTCACTTGAATATTTAGAGTTTCGTGGAAAAGCTGGATATAGTGGCACACTGCAATAATCCCAGGACTTCAGAGCCTTAGGCAGGGGGATCACTGTGAGGTTTTGTTCCCCCACCCCCCACCCCAAAACAGGGTTTCTCTGTATTGCTTTAGAGGCTGACCTCGAACTCACAGAGATCCGCCTGCCTCTGCCACCCAAGTGCTGGGATTAAAGGCCTGAGCCACCAACGGCCAGCTACTGTGAGTTTGAAACCAACCCAGGCTACAAAGTGAGTTAGAGGCCAGCCTGTGCTGAAGAGTGAGAGACCTTGCCTGAACCAGCCAAACAAAAACTACACAGCAGTTTTGTTTTGTTGAGCTGCTGGAGTGGGGGTGAGGTGGGGGAATCATTGGACCTCGAGTCTTCTGCATGGTAGGCAAAGGTTCTACCACTGAGCTACACCTCAAGTTGTCATCAGCATTTCTGGAGGTCCTGGAAGCATGTGTATGGCTAAGCCCCAGAGGCCACTACTTTGATCTTTGTACTCACAATATGATCTTTCAGCCCTGGAGATTAATAATAAAGCTTCAAAGTGGCCTCCCCCTTTTTGTGCCCCTGCTGGTGCTGCATGTGCATGCCTTCTGCGGAGGACCTGGTGCCTCTTTTTTGAAGTGGCAGCGGAGGAGAATCAGGTGCTCAGAGAAACCCAAGGAAGGAGTCAAGATTGAGAACAGCAATCTTATTAATTTGAAGGTGGTAGGGCAGGATGGTCTGTGGTGCAGTTTAAGAGGCACCACTTAGTGAACTAATGAAAGCCTATTGTGAATGACAAGGTAAGTCTCTGAGCAGATCAGACTCTGGTTTGATAACCAGTGAAACAGACACACCTGCACAGTTGGAAATGGAGAGTGAAGATAACGATTGATGTGTTCCAGTGGCAGACAGGTGTCTACTAAAAAGACACCCTCTACTTTACTCCAGAATTTTGTTACAGACCAAGAATAAATTTCCAATTAGAAAGCCACAATTTGGTTTCACCATAGCCTGACTACTACAGAATAGTCTTCTCTATTTCATTTCCTTGTCCCCATTTCATTATTGTTCATAAACTAAGCGTTGTATGTCCACAAGCATATTGTACTTTTTTCTTTTTCTGTTTTCATCCAAATGGCCAGTGTTCTGTTTTGGTTGACTGACATCAGATGGAGATGGTATGTGGAGAAGTTCTGGTTCTGTGAAAATATCCCCCTTTCTCCATTTGTGGCATGCTCATTCAGCTATTTACATTCCAGTAAGTTTTTTTGCGCTCATTGTTTTAATGAAAGAACCCAACAACATCAAATCCTTGCATACCTGGTTTGATTGGAGATTTTTTTTATATATATATACAGTGTTCTGCCTGCCAGAAGAGGGCAACAGATCTCATACAGATGGTTGTGAGCCACCATGTGGTTGTTGGGAATTGAACTCAGGACCTCTGGAAAAGCAACTAGTGTTCTTAACCTCTGAGCCATCTTTCCAGCCCCTGATAGGAGAATTTTATTTTTTTTTAATCATTGTAAAACCAAGAACAATTTTTTATTTTATTTTTTGTTTTTTTGAGACAGAGTTTCTCTGTATTGCTTTGGAGGTTGTCCTGGAACTTGCTCTGTAGACCAGGCTGGCCTCAAATTCACAGAGATCCACCTGCCTCTGCCTCCCGAGTGCTGGAATTAAAAGCTACCAATGCCCAGCCAAAGGACAATTTTATAACATTTTTGTATGTAGCTGTCACATGTAGAACAATCTGTCTTTAAGTACTGGCAAATTACTCTTTTTTTTTTTTCTTTAAAGATTTTATTTATTATGTATACAACATTCTGCTTCCATGTATATCTGCACACCAGAAGAGGGCACCAGATCTCATTACAGATGATTGTGAGCCACCGTGTGGTTGCTGGGAATTGAATTCAGGACCTCTGGAAGAGCAGTCAGTGCTCTTAACCTCTGAGCCATCTCTTCAGCCCGGCAAATTACTCTTGACCAAGATGATTCTAAATAGTTTTCTCTTTGAGTCAAGCTTATTTAAATAAACTTATTAAAAATGAAAAAAAGCTTCAAAGCAATGTAGAATCATGTCCCAGGCCTTGGGGCATTTTAAATATTTAATGTGGGGGTGAGGCATGTTTGTGGCACAGCATGTGTGAGGCCAGAGACACCTTTTGGGTTATCAGTTCTTCCTCTTCACCATGTTGGTCCCAGGGATAGAATTCATATTGCCGGATTTGGTGGCAAGCACCTTTAACTGAAGAATCATGTCCTTAACCCTGAGGCCATAGGATTCAATGTTTCTGTCCTCAGTTTTCTCCTTTTGAAGGTCCCAAGGATGTCCTTGTGAGAAGCCTCAGAAAAATATTATAGGTGCATTTGGTGATACGATGCTGGGAATTTAATCCAGGTTCTCTTTAAGAGCAGAATTTGTCATCTTAACTGCTGAATCTTTGCTCCTGCCCCTTAACCATTACACTTATCTTTAAACATCTTAGCATGGTACCACTTCCATCTTCTGGAAAGCTCCCTATTAACTCAATCCTTTCCCTCCTCTGCAATATTTTTTTTAAAAACAATTATCAGGCCCCTGAGATGTCTCAGTGGGTAAAGACACTTGCTGCCAAGACTGGTGACTAGAGATAAGTCCTGGAATCTACAGGTTGGAAGAGAACCAACTTCTACAAGTTGTCCTCTGACTTTCACATACACTCTGTATTGTGTGTGTACCCCCAATAAATACATGTTTAAAAATTTATTAGTGGGTCAATGTGTTCTTGATGTGCATGTAAGTGTACATGTGTAGCGGCCAGAGAACAACTTTGTGGAGTCAATTTCTTTACATGAGTTTCAGAGATCAAAGTCAGATTGCCAGACTTACATAGAAAACACCTTCACTTGTTGGGCCATCTCATTGGCCCATGATATTCTTTTATTTTCTTTTCACAACAGGGCTTCTCTGTGCAGCTCTGGCTGTCTCAAATCTGCCTTTGTAGATCAGGCTGGCCTTGAACTCAAAGATCTGCCTGCCTCAGCCTCCAGAGTGCTGGGACTAAAGGCATGCGACACATTAACTCCCCAAGACATGGCTTCTCTGTGTAGCCTTGGCTGTCCTGGAATTTCCTCTGTAGACCAGGATAGCCTCAAACTCATAGAGATCTGCCTGCCTCTGCACCGGAGTACTGGGATTAAAGGTGTGTACCACCACCATCCAGTCCATGAAATTCTCTATAAAAGCATTTATTAAGGTTCAAATCAAGCCAGGCATGGTGGTGCATGCCTTTAATCCTAGCACTTAGAAGGCAGAGGGAGGAGGATCTTTGTGAATTCTAGGCCAGCCAGAACTACATGAAAGCCTGTCTCAAACAAACAAACAAACAAACAAACAAACAAAAAAACCAAGGGGTCTGGAGAGATGGCTCAGAGGTTAAGAGCACTGGCTATTTTTCCAGAGTACTTGGCTTCAATTTGTAGTACCCCATGACAGCTCATAACTGCAACTCTAGGTCCAGGGGATCTAACACCTTCACACCAATGCACGTTAAAACATGGTTAAATAAACTAAAAACAAACAAACAAAAAGGCTCAAATCATACCTAATCTGTCTTGTGTGAAAGGCCCAAGGAAATATATCTATGAGTGACTGAAATGTTCCAAATGACAAAAAAATGTAGTTTCTGGACAAAGAAACAATAGAATAATCAAAACACAAGTCATGGTGGGCATGGTGGTGCACACTTTAATCTCAGCACTTAGGAGGTGGGGGCGGGGGCGGAGGCTGGTTGTTCTCTGAGTCTGAAGCCAGCCTGGTCTACATAGCTACTTCTATTATAATTTTAAAAATGGGAGGAAGGAGTCACACCATACAACAGGGCTCACATGGGGGGTTTATTGAAAGAGGAGAGTGAAGAGGCAGAAAAGGGGCAGAGAGGGGATGTGGGGGCAGAGAAAGGGCAGAGACAGATTCCTGGAGACAAAAGTAGCAGAAGAGAAAGAGAGGAGGTGGGTAAGGTCTGCCTTTATAAGGGAACTTAAGGAATGTGCACAGGTGGTGCTCTTAGTGACTGCAGTTGAGAGCGTATCCTGTCAGGACTCTAAGGGCAGGCCAGTACAGATGCTTGAATACTAACAACTTCCAGGTCAGCCAGGGCTCCACAGTAAAACCTTTTCTCAAAAATAGTAGCAACAGCAAAAACCACCACATGAGTCATGTAGATACATATGAAAGCTAAGAGACTGTATTTCGATGGATTCTTTGGTGTCGGACAAGGTGTGTGCTCTGTCTGAATCTTTCGCCACACTGAAGACATTTATAAGGTTTTTCTCCCGTGTGAGTTCTCTGATGTTTAATGAGGGTTGCACTCTGACTGAAGCTTTTCCCACAGACAAAACACACATAGGGCTTCTCTCCCGTGTGAACCCTCTGATGCTTGAAGAGGTCTGAGCGCTGCTTGAAGCTCTTTTGGCAGTCCTCACATTTATACGGTCTCTCCCCTTTGTGCAGTCTCTGGTGTCTAAAAAGGCTGGAGATGTGGAAGATCTCCCCACATTCCTCACATTTATAGTACTTCTCGCTGGCATGGGTTCTCTGATGCCGACTAAGATGTGAGCTCTGTCTAAAGCATTCCCCACACTCTGGGCATGCATATGGCTTCTCGCCCGTGTGTGTCCGCTGGTGTTTAACGAGTGCAGCACTCTGGCTGAAGCTTTTCCCACATGCTTGACACTGATAGGGCTTCTCACCTGTGTGTGTCCGCTGGTGTTTAAAAAGGTCTGAGCGCTGTCTGAACCTCTTCTCACAGCTGTCACACTTATAGGGTTTGTCTTCATGGAGTCCCAAACTACTGCCAACAGAGTTGTGCGGTTTCACTGTATGGCATTTCACATGGAAGCCTTGTTTGTGGTCATTCTCATATTCACCATTGGTGCTGAGCCTCTCTGCTGTCTGGATGTGCTGACCAATGCCAAGGCCGGCACTGTTCCCAAATTCATTATTTTTAGAAACTCCTTCTTCCTTGGGGACACCAATGAGATGTGAGATGGTGGTGCATCCTTGCTCTTCAGGAGAACTCTGGAGTTGCAGCAATACAGTATCTTTTGACAGCTTTTCTTCCCAGTCCTCAAGGGCATCACCACACTTGGTAAATAGTGGGACCTTTCCCTGGGACACTTCTTGTATCCATACCTGGGGCTCTGCTTCCTTTAAAGTTTCTTGCTTTGGAACACAGTCTTTGTTTGAAGCTCTGGTTTCCAAGCCTGAAACATGAAAATACAAGCTGCTGTTATCTCTCCACTGTGTAACAGTGAAATAGAAATGCTGGTAGCGGAAGGACCTTGAACCTGCTTCTAAGTGTTCCTCACCAAAGGCCTTGGGTGAAACCGCATGAGCCCATCAGGGGCATGCACTCTGCCTGTACAAGTAAATAGCCTTCCTTCTGTACTTGTGCCTACAGCTACCAAGCCATTCTTCACTGGTCCCATTGCATTGCTACAGATTGCATACTAAGAGAGGTAGAAACATAAAGGATGTCAGAACAGTCTGTGGAGCTTTATCCCATGAATGTGGAATGGATTAATAGGAAAGTCTCTCCATGGTGAGCTATAATGGACATAGGTGGTGACTCTAAACTCTGAAGGCAGGATCTCAGTGGGAGGTCAATCTAGGATTGGTTGAAGGTCTATAGAAATTGTCTTCTGGCCTCTACACATACACCCATACTAAATGCATGTTCACTCCAACAAACACATATAAATGGGGAGGGCACATGAGATCCACCTCTAGCTGAGCTCCTGGTAAGTAATCACTGCTGAGGGAGCCAGCGTGATTCTTCTTCAAGGATGTAGGACTTTTTTTTTCCCCCGAGACAGGGTTTCTCTGTGTAGCTTTGGAGCCTATCCTGGTACTCACTCTAGAGACCAGGCTGGCCTCGAACTCACAGAGATCCGCCTGCCTCTGCCTCCTGAGTGCTGGGATTAAAGGCGTGTGCCACCAATGCCCGGCTTCATCTTAGTTATTTTTAGTTATTACATCCGGATGTAGTACTTCTTAAGTTGACCATGCATGTGCAAACCCTAATTAAAACAAGCACCATCGTCAGGTGGTGGTGGTGGCACACACCTTTAATCCCAGCACTCGGGAGGCAGAGGCAGGGGGATTTCTGTGAGTTCGAGGCCAGCCTGGACAGGCTCCCAAGCTACACAGAGAAACCCTTGCTCGAAAAAACAAAAAAAAAAAAAAAAAACCAAACCCAAAAAGCACCATAAACTTGAATGTGGGAGGGGCACGTTGGGAAGGTTTCCAGTGGGAGTGGGAAGAGGTAAGAGAGAAATGGAAGAGAGCATACTAGGAAAAACAAGGGTTCCAGAGAGAGTGGGAGGTGATAAGATAGGAATGAGAAGGGCTGGAGACATGGCTCAGCAATTAAGAACCCTTGCTGGCCTTTCAGAGGTTCTGAGTTCAATTCCCAGCAACCACATGGTGGCTCACAACCATCTGTAATGAGATCTTCTGCCCATTTCTGGCCTGCAGGATTACATGCAGACAGAACACTGTATACATAATGAATAGATCTTTTAAAAAAAGAAAAGAATGAGAGAAGGCATGCTGGGAAAAAGGAGGGTTCTAGAGGAAGGTGGATAGGGGCATTCTGGGAAGAAGAGTTCCAGAGGGAGGGGATAAGAGAGGGAAGTGGATAGGAACAGGGGCATTCTGGGAAAAAGGATTCCAGAGGGAGGGGATAAGAGAGGGAAGTGGATAGGAAAAGAGGCATTCTGGGAAAAGAGATTCCAGAGGGAGTGGGAAAGCATAAGAGGTAGGTGGACCTCTGTGAGTTTGAGACCAGCCCGGTCTACAAAAGCCTCCAAAGCCACAGAGAAACCCTGTTTCAACCCCCGCCCCCCTTCCCCCCCTCCCGGCCAAAAAAAAAAAGTTACTAAAGTCCATGTGTAGTGGCACATTTCCCTTGATACAGGGTTTCTCTGTGTAACAGCCCTAGCTGTCCTAGAACTTGCTCTGTAGACCAGCCTGGCCTTGAACTCACAGAGATCCACAGAGATCCCCCACCCCATACTGGGACTAAAGGCGTGTGCCACCACTGTTGGCCAATCCTAAGGCTCTTAACCCATGTTTGTGAATGGCAAACTAGCTCACAGATCACAGAGAAGTGAGTTGTTAATCCTGGTTAGCAAAAACTGTCAACTTGATACAGCCTATGACAGGAAAGCCTCAACTGAGGAACTATGTAGATCAGATTGGCCCCTTGATTCTTAATTGATGTAGGAGGGCCAACCCATTGAGGGTAAAGCAAAATGGTCCTGTTGATGGGGCTGTCAAGACACTCAGTGGGTAAACACACCTGTAGCAAGCCTACACACACACACACACACACACACACACACACACACACACACACACACACACACACGTAATAAAAGATTTAAAAGAAATCCTGTTTTTAAAAAAATGCTAGTTGAAGCCGGGCATTGGTGGTGCATGTCTTTAATCCCAGCACTTGGGAGGCAGAGGCAGGCGGATCTCTGTGAGTTTGAGGCCAGCCCGGTCTCCAGAGCAAGTGTAAGGATAGGCTCCAAAGCTATACAGAGAAACCCTGTCTCGAAAAACCAAAAAAAAAAAAAAAAAAAAAATGCTAGTTGAGGGCTAAGCCAGCCTGCAAACAGCATCCTTCATTGGCTATGAAATGAAATCGTTAGTCAGAAATAATGCTGTGGGGACTATCATGTGGGCCTGCTTCCAGGTTCCTGCCATGACTTGTCTCAGTGATGAACTGTGACCTAGTCTTTTTTTTTTTAAGATTTTATTTATTTATTATACATACAACATTCTGCTTCCATGTATATCTGCACACCACCTCATAATGGATGGTTGTGAGCTACCTTGTGGTTGCTGGGAATTGAACTCAGGACCTCTGGAAGAGCAGTCAGTGCTCTTAACCTCTGAGCCATCTCTCCAGCCCTGTGACCTAGTCTTGAAAGCCAAATAAACCTTTCCTTCCCCTAAGCTGCTTTTGGTCAGAATGTTTTCTCACAGCAACTGGAAGGAAACTAGAGCAGCCACCCTATACAAGCCACACATACTACGATTCATCAGAGGATGGCACATACCAGGCAGAACTGTGCTCCCAGAGTCCTTTGTGCTCTCTTTGTGGAAACCCTTCCGAGCCGCAGCCAGCTGCTCCCACTCTTCCAAGGTCAGAGATTCAGCCACATCCTTGAAAGTCACAAATCCCTAGAACAGCACAAGATCCGAATTTAGTTCCTGCTGTCACTACAAATACTTCCACTAGTCTAAAGAGAAGCCAGCCTCTAGGGAGTAAGGAGCGGGTGCAAAAGAGTCAAGTAACAACCACAGGTGCTGAGTGACTGGGTGCCAAAGGGACCTGTTACTGACAATCTTTATTGTCAAACTGACTGGATTTAGAATTGTCCAAAACTAAGCTTCTGGACTTACATGGGAGAACATTTCCAGACAGATTTGACTGTGGAGAAAAGGTCAACCCTCAGCAGGCTGGTGTACTGGACAGAATGAAGAGAAAGGCAGTAACAAGGGAAGTACCAGCATTCATCTCCTTCTGACTGCTAACCTTGAAGCAAGGTGACCCCCTTTGCCATACCTCCCTGACTTCACAGACTGTAGCTCTTCTGAAACCCTGACCCCCAAATAAGCCCTCCTCAAGGTGCTTTAGTCACAGCATGGAGAAGGGTTACCATTCTCACTAGAAGGCCACATCCTCCTGTAATCTTGAAAAGACTTTCTGTGGATCACCTATGGCAATTTGGGGAAGGCACAATCAAAATATTTGTGTTCTAGCACTGTGATTATCAAGATGGAAACTTAGGCTGGGAAGTGGCCAGGCATGCACAGAGCTGAGCTCCAGCCCTAGCACTTCAGAAGCCAGGTGTGGCAGCAAACACTTGCAACACCAGAACTCAGTAGGTGGAGGCAGGGGGATCAGAAATTTTAGGGTCATCCTCTGCCCTCTAGATAAGGAGTTGTTTTAGGCCATCCTAGGCTACATGAGATCATGTCTCAATTTGTGGGGTGAGAAGAGAAAGAAAGGAAAGAGAAGAAACAGCTTAGTCAGAGGATGCAGATCCCCTGGATCTGTCCCAGGAGTGTCCCTGGGAGCTCTAGCTCCCTGACTCCCGCCCTTTTCTGCATCCCCGATCTGCTTCCTCACTGCCAGAAAGTGACATCTGCTCCAGCATATCCTTCTGTGATGGTGTTCTGCTGTATCCCAAGCCCAGAAACAACAAATTCTGCAGACCATGGACTCTTAACTTCTAAACCATTAAACCCCAAAGGATCTTGTGTCCCTTAAGTTGTCTTAGGTATCTATCACAGTGTCAAACTGACTAAACACACTATGCATACATGTACATGGCTAACACAGGCAAGCTTATATAGGCTGAGTTCCCTGTATCTAAAATGCTTGTGAGCAAAACTGTTCACAATGTCACAATATCTCAGTTCAGCCAGGGATGAAATGAGTGTTCCAGCATTTTCCTAATCTCAGAGCCCAAAATCTGAAGTGTTTGAGTGTCTCTCCCCCACAACTAAGTATTAGCCCAAATGTCCATATCGCAAAGATGCCAAAACTGCCTTTGAAATGGCTAAATTATGAAATGACATTTTGGGGGGAGGACCTGGAAAATGTTTCAATATTAACTTTTGAGGGGCTGGATTAACTTTTCAAGATGTATCAGAAGTTAAAGAGTGTGGGCTGGAGAGATGGCTTAGAGGTTAAGAGAGAGCACAGACTGCTCTTCCAGAGGTCCTGAGTTCAATTCCCAGCAACCACATGGTAGTTCACAACCATCTCTAATAAGATCTGGTGCCCTTTTCTGGCATCCAGGCATACATGCAGGCAGAACACTATATATGTAATAAACAAACCTTAAGTTAAGAGTGCTTCCTGCTCTTCCAGGAAGACTGACCTGAGTTCAGTTCCCAGCACCCACACTGGCAGCTCACAATAGCCTGTGACCCCAGTTCCTGGGACCCAATGCCCTTTTCTGTGCTCCTTTGGCACTCCCACTCTTGTGGCATACATTCACACAAACACACAGTCATGTGAACAAAAAAATGCAAAAATGACAATGATTGTGTATTGTATCCCAAAAGGCAGGAGCAAGCTTAGTTTCAATGAGCTAGGTAAGGTGGTGCTTACACCTTTAATCCCTAAACTTTGGAGGTGGAGTAAAGGGGATGTCTGCGAGTTCAAAACCAGTCTGGTCTATACAATGAGTTCAAGTCAGTTAGGGCTATATAGTAAGGCTCTGCCTTAAAAAACAAAACAAAACATATTTCAGAACCAGTCATAAATGTCAGGAATAGTACTCGATTTTTCCAAGGTGTCTTCTCAGGGACTTAACACATTCTGATATATGAGCCTATAGAGGCCATTCTCACTCAAATCACCACTCTGTGTGCGTGCGTGTGTGCGCGCACACACGCGTGATTGAAGATGCCCGGAAGATGACATTAGCTCCCCTGGAACTAGAGTTACAGGTGGTGGTGAGCCACCCTACGTGGGTGCTGGGAACCGAATCCATCCTCTGCAAGAGCCCCATAGGGTCTTAAACGCTACATCAGAGCCCACCCGCTTCTCACCTGTGAGGAGGCTCGGTCCAGGGCTCTTTGTAGAATCCGCGCCAAGGCCGCAGCCTCCTGCCCGCTCTCAGGGCAGTGGTCCCGCACGCAGGCCTGGAGCTCCTGCGGCAGGATGGTGAGGAACTGCTCCAGCACCAGCAGCTCCAGGATCTGCTCTTTGGAGCGCAGCTCCGGCCTCAGCCACCGCCGACACAGCTCCCATAGCCGGCTCAGTGCCTCCTCGGGGCCGGCCACTTCCTGGTAGCGCAACTGCCTGAACTGTTTTCGAGAAGTTTCGGGGTTCTGCCAATCCCCGGACCCGCAGGACTTCTGACTCCCCGGTGAGTACTCCTCCACTTTCACCGTACAGAGCGCGGCACCCGCGACAGCCGCGACAGCCATTGGAGTCGCTGGACCGTCCGGCTCGAACTTGTTTTTAGAAGGGCAAAACGGGGCGCACTGCTACCTTCTTTCAAAAGCGAGGACCCGAACAGGCCACTACCGGCACAGCACACCCGTGAACATGGACTGTTAGTTCTCTATCTAGCCGGTGACAGAAAAACAAACCCAGGCCGGAAGTGAGTCATTACCTCACGCGCTGGAGACAGGCCTTGTCTTCCCTAGGTCTCTCTAAGCAACCCGGAGGACTAAGACGCATCTTGGTGGTGTGAGCAACAAATCTCTAATCCGCACGTGTACAGTGCACACAGAGGCCAGAAGAGGGCACCAGACACCCTAGAACTAGAGGTACTGAAGGCTGTTGTTAGCCATGAGAGTTTTGGGAATCCAGCCCAGGTCTTCTGGCAAGAGCAGCAGAAGTTCCTGATCACTGAGCCATCTCTCCAGTGCCTGTATTTCTTTATTCCACTTTCCATGTCCTTGGTGCTGGAGATGGAACTCAGGGATTTCACAATGACAGTCTCACCACCCCCGAGAGACGCCGCCCTACAGCGTTGTGGCATTTCTTCTCCAACGAGGTCTTCCACTATTTGCAGAGGAGTGACGACAGGGGCTTTCATACTGTCTGTCCGCGAAGGACTTGGAAAGCGATCAAAACACAACAGGAGAGGGATGGATTACTAAAGATGGGGATTTACGGTTTAGGGTAACAGGATTTAAACAAAACACCGCTTTTCTGAAGTGTAGGCCGCCAGGCTCCGGGCATAATCTTCCCTTTGCTGCATCGGTTGTTATTATTATTACTTTAAAGGCCAGTCAAGTGCAGTAGTGAGAAGACAGCCTTCGGGATAGACCCCCATCCGTTGCCTTTTAACGTTAAAAAAAATTAATTTCCCTAATGCCTACGTGGAGTGCCATGTGGTGGGAGGCGTACACAGCGACTTTGACTTCCATAATATTTGGATATCTCGAACCCAGGGATGGAACTCATGTGATCAGGCTTGGCGGTAAGGTAAATATCAGTGAGCCATGCATCCATCTGGCGCAGCATTTTAGTGTGCCTCGGAGCCTGAGGAGAGCCGCAGCCATAGTAGCTAGTTAGACTGTGTTGCTCGCGCGCGGCTTCTTGGGAGATGTAGTCCTGTGAGCCTCCTGGATCTCCCCACTCTAGGGCAGGCCGTAAAGAATGTCTTTGGGTGTGTTTGGGAAAGTGGCAAAGCAGTGATAGAATTTGAAGAGTTATGAGCTGGCAACAAGGTGCTGACCAACTTAAATTCCTGAGTGTGTGGGGAAGCTGATCTCGACCAATCAGACGCGAGAGAGTGAGGGCCCGCCCCTGAGACCCGCCCTCTAGCCTTACTAGCAGGGGCGGGGCGAAGCGAAACTGCGGTTTTGGGGGTGGGAGATAGATACTAGAGTTACTTTCCTCGGGCTCTAGTAGCCTCTTGCCTGAAGCTCGGTGATTGGTCAAATCTACAAGGGGGCGTGTCCATAAGTAGCTCCTCCCTCCCGCTGCGCGGCGCGGACCTCCGGGATTCCTAGAGAGGCTGCGGAAGCGCACTTGGGGGTGGGATTTATGGCTGAGCTCGCACTTGGTTACTTCCGGCGAGGAACTGTTGGAAAGTGTCGAACGCGGTTCTCTCTTGGCTTGTGAGAACTCCATCTTCCGAGCCTGGGCTGCGGGGAGTTTGCTCTTTGGGTCCCCGGGACTTAGGGACTGGAGAGGAGAGAGTAGCATTGTGTCCACACTGGGTCCCTAACCTTGACCCGTCCGGTCTCTATCTCCGGGTCAGGAGCTATTCCGAGGAATCCAGGTCCAAATTTCTGTCTACAACCGTGCTTTCTCCTAGAACTAATGAAGTCTTCCGTTTGCCTGTCAAGCTCTTATGGCTTGAAAGCCAGGACCAGATATGACCATTTTAATGGTTTTCACTTAAGTTTGGCTTATGATAGAGAGAAGAAACGACTCTGTCTGGAATAATTTAGTCCCGTTATTTATGAGATGTGTACTTCTTCATTTCTAAAATTGTATTTTACGTTGGGCCTGCTGTCACTTTTTTGTGGCCGTTGTTTGCATTTTTAAAACCTGGACGTAGTTACTATTAGTAATTTTATGGGTGTAGTGATGAGTGACTTGTACTCTGTGGATGACTTCACTAAGTGGTTTTCTATAGTATAGATGACGTCTTTGCCACCTCTCGGTTAATAATAATTCCTGACATACCAGTAAGGTTGTTCACTACAAAAAGTGCCCTTCAAAAGGGCAGAGAACAAATTGGGTCAGTGTAACGGGCAGCCTCTAGAGACTGTTGGAATGATAATGACAGAATCCAGGGCAGTTATACACTTAGAGCCTCCAGCTGAGACTTCCTCGCAAGAGCAAGCTGACCTCCTCATAGTGAAAGTGGAAGAAGAGGACTGTTCCTGGATGCAGGGATACAACCGGCCAGTGTTCGAGACTTTTTACCAGCGCTTCAAGCACTTCCAGTACCATGAGGCGGCAGGACCTCGGGATGCTCTCAGCCAGCTTCGGGTGCTCTGCTGTGAGTGGCTAAGACCGGAGCTGCACACCAAGGAACAGATCCTGGAACTACTGGTGCTGGAGCAGTTCCTCACCATCCTGCCGGAAGAGTTCCAGGCCTGGGTGAGAGAACATCACCCCGAGAGCGGAGAAGAAGCTGTGGCTGTGATAGAAAGTATCCAGAGAGAGCTAGAGGAGCGCAGGCAACAGGTGAGTGGGAGAGGAGGCAGGCGCAGCGAGGAAGGATGCCGAGGAACTGCTAAGCAGGGCTGAGAGGTTTAGCCATCTGGTGCTTTAGTCGGTCATGTTCCGATGTTATGGTTGCTTTTTACATGGTCTCACTATATATCCTTGGGTACTCTGGCTTATACTATGTAGACCTGAGGGGACTAGAATTCACAGACATCCACCCCCCTTCTGCCTCCCAAGTGCTGGGATTAAAGGCGTGTGCCACCTTACCCAACAGGTAATGAGTTTTAAAGAATATTTTGTTTCTTCTTCCTCCTCCTTCTCCCCACCTTTTTGCAAATTATGCTTGTGTTTCTTACTTGCTTTTCTTACCTGTTAGAAACGATAGGCATTGTGTGTACCTTATGATTGGCATATGCTATTTTTCCAGTTTGTTGTCATGGAATCTACTGTACTTAGAGATGAACCAGTGTAATTCTTACATTCTGGTTTCTTGGACTCATGCTTTAGAAGGCTTTCTTTACTGCAGTTTATGAAAACCTTTTCTCAGTCTTTTTATTTATTTAATAGCTTATTTAATTTTATTTTATGTGCTTTGGTGTGAAGGTGTCAGATCCCCTGGAACTGGAGTTATAGACAGTTGTGAGCTGCCACGTGGTGCTGAGAATTCAACTCAGGTCCTCTGGAAGAATAGCCATTGTGCTTAACCTCTGAGCCATCTCTCCAGCCCCCTCAGTCACTTTTTAACAGATTCCTTTGTCTAGAATGTGTTCTGATGTAGTGTCTTTGGTATGGTTCCAGCTATTTTCCCCACATATCTATCTCATTGCTCCAGCAGCTTTTTAAAGAAATACTTTGTTTTTGGAATTATTTTGTATGTCTTAGTGTTCTGCCTGCAGGGGTGTATGGAGCCTAGGAGAGGATGTTGCATCCCTTGGAGCTAGATTTACAGGTGGTGAGCTGCCTTGTCGGTGCTGGGAATCGAACCCAGTTCCTCTGCATGAGCAGCCAGTGCTCTAAATCACTGAACCATCTCTCTCAGTCATTATTTTCATTTTAAGCTGTGTATTTGTGTGTCTGGATTTGTGCGTGTGAGTGCAGCTGCCCTTGGAGGGCATTGGATCCTCTGATGACGCTGGTGTCATAGGTGGTTATGAGCCGCCTGATGTGAGTCCTAGGAGCTGAGCTTGGGCCCGTGAGAGCAGTGTGTGCCGTCACATTAACCTGCGAGCCAGCTTCCTCAGCACAGCAACTTTTAAAAGAAACTTTCTTTTTCTTAACCAGCCTGGGCAACATAGAGAGTTGGAGGCCAGACAAAATTATAGGGAGAGAGATCCTGCCCCCAAAATAAAATGCTGTCTTTATCACTTGGTAAATTCCTGCCTTTTTGGGGCATCTGTTTCTGATGTTTGTGTCCTAGTCTGTTGATCCTAGTGACTGTTTCTGAGTCTGCTTTAAAATTATCTGAGGTGTAAACAGTTTTGGCATTTCCTTCCCTCTGCCTTTTCCATTCAGGGTTCTCTCCTTATGCACTTAGAGCTCGATTTGGTGGGGCATGCCTTTAATCCCAGCACTTGGGAAGCTGAGACAGGGGGATTCTGAGAAGGAAGACCCTGTCTAAAAACAACAGAACAAAAGCCTATGGGTTTGGAAGAGTTTGAAGGTTGCTGGAGGATTCTACCTGTCCCTCAGTCTGTATGTAATTGTAAGGAGCTGGCCTCATCATTCACATTTTGAGGGTGAGGGGACATTCCAGAGTTCCAGAACATCCTCAGACATTTTGGCAGCTTCATCTCACCCTGTGACTCAGACAGCAAGGCAGGGGTGGCAGGATCTTAATGCCTTCCAGAATTTGTAGTAGTAAGCTGTGCCTTACTTAGAGTAATTATATACACCGTAGGTGGGATTGAGGACTGAAAGCAGGCTGGTAGAGGCTGGTACCATGCTGGACATGAACAAGCTTAAGTTCTTTTTGAAGCAGGGTATTCCAGTTTAACCAAGACCTTGCTGCATCCCTCCTGTTTCTGCCTCCTGAGTGTTGGGATTACAGGCATGTGGGACATAAACTATCTGAAATCTTAGTCTGACCAGCAGTGACTTCCGGAGTCCCATAGTGACCTTTCCATCCTCCCTTTTCATCGCTTCCATTACCTTTACCTACCCTCGGCTTCTTAGGGGTCCTGGGTTGGATCAAATACTCTGTTTTGCTTGAGGGAAGGTCCAAAAACCCTTTCCCCCTTTGCCTTTGCCTGCCTTCTTAAAAGTCATTATTTTAAAAGTGTGTGTGTGTGTGTGTGTGTGTGTGTGTGTGTGTTGTGTGTTGTGTGTGTATGCACACAAGTGTGCTGGTACCCTTAGAAACTAGAAGAGGACACTGGATTGCCTGGAGCTGGAGTTACAGAGTTACAGATGATTGTGAACCACCATGTGGTTGCTTGGAATTGAACTTGAATTCTCTGGAAGAGCAGCTAGTACTCTAAACCCCTGGGCCATCTTTCCAGTCCTTTCTTAACATCTTTTAGGTGTTTACAGAGTGACACCCTTCCCTAGCCTCTCAGGCTAATGTGGGTCTTGCCTGTTCTATCCTGTAGTTGTGTTTCTTTCCTGTCTAACATGGAGTTCATAATTGTGTATTTGCATGTGGGTATATCTCATGGAAGTCGTTTCCCAGTAGAAGTAAGCATGTTTGTTAAACTGCTATTTAATCAGAGCCTGGCTCATTGTAGACACAAGTTCAATATTGGGCAAGGGGATAGGTGACAGTTTAATGGACTCTAATGGGTTCTTTCCCATCTCCGTCTATAATTTTGCTGATTGGTTGTAGTTGTGGTTGTTAGATTACCACATGTCCTGAAGTGCTTCCACAGAAGACGGTACCATCCGGAGCCACGCAGGAGCCCTTCAGTCACCAGTTTCTGCCGGTGGAGGCCCAGTCTGATCAAGAGCCACAGAATCTTCTGGAGGGAAATGGTGAGGCTCGTCAATTCAGTACAACCAATGTGACTAGAGCACGGGGGCTCTAGTCACACTTTCACTTAAAATCCATCAACTGGGAATGTGGTTCAGTTGGCAGAGCGCTTGCCTACCAGTCATGAAGACCTCTGTTCTGTCCCCACTAACACATGAACCAGGTATGAAGCACACCTGTTACCCTACACACAAGGCAGAGGCAGGAGGATCATCGAAGCCACCTTGGCTACAGAGCCGGTTGGAGGCTGGACTACTTGAGACCCTGTCTCAAAAACAAAGCAAAACTAAGAAAGCTATAATAAGGATGGGATATGCATAGCTTAGTTGTAGAGTGTATCTTTAGTAAGATGCTGGGTTCCATTCCTGGGACCACCCTCCAAAAGCAGAAATATGGCAAAAATGATAGTGAAGACTGTCAGGGTATTCTATGTTGCATGGGTCAGTCGAAGAAAGAGGTTATTCCAAAAAGAAATTTTTGTAAAGATTTATTTATTTATTATGTATACAGTGTTTTGCCTCCATGTATGCTTGCACACCAGAA